AATCACGACACCGATTTTTTAGTCGAAATTTATGTCTAAATCTTACCCCAAGATTCGTATATAGACATGGGTCAACAATTACCACCCCCATAACTCGGTCAAATCTCATCCGATTTCCACGAAGTTTGGATTTTTCTTCATGGTTTTCCCTCTAGATTAATCTGGCATTCAAATATGAACAGCGATTTTTTAGTCGAAATTCATGTCCAAATCTTACCCCTAAGTTTCGTTTCTAGACATGGGTCAAAAATTACCACCCCCATAACTCGGTCAAATCTTATTCGATTTTCCCGAAGTTTGGATTTTTCTTCATGGTTTTTCATTTAGATTAATCTGGCATTCAAATCACGTCACCGATTTTTTAGTCGAAATTCATGTCCAAATCTTACCTCAAGATTTGTATATAGACATGGGTCAAAAATTACCAACCCCATAACTCGGTCAAATCTCATCCGATTTCCACGAAGTTTGGCTTTTTCTTCATGGTTTTCCCTCTAGATTAATCTGGCATTCAAATCTGAACACCGATTTTTTTGTCGAAATTCATGTCCAAATCTTACCCCAAGATTCGTATATAGACATGGGTCAAAAATGACAACCCCCATATCTTGGTCAAATCTCATCCGATCTTCACGAAGTTTGGATTTTTCTTCATGGTTTTCCCTCTAGATTAATCTGGCATTCAAATCTGAACACCGATTTTTTTGTCGAAATTCATGTCCAAATCTTACCCCAAGATTCGTATATAGACATGGGTCAAAATTTACCACCCCATAACTCGGCCAAATCTCATCCGATTTTCACGAAGTTTGGCGTTTTCATCATGGTTTTCCCTCTATATTAATCTGGAATTCAAATCACGACACCGATTTTTTAGTCGAAATTTATGTCTAAATCTTACCCCAAGATTCGTATATAGACATGGGTCAACAATTACCACCCCCATAACTCGGTCAAATCTCATCCGATTTCCACGAAGTTTGGATTTTTCTTCATGGTTTTCCCTCTAGATTAATCTGGCATTCAAATATGAACAGCGATTTTTTTGTCGAAATTCATGTCCAAATCTTACCCCAAGATTCGTATATAGACATGGGTCAAAAATTACCACCCCCATAAGTCGGTCAAATCTCATCCGATTTCCACCAAGTTTGGCATTTTCTTCATGGTTTTCCCTCTAGATTAATCTGGCATTCAAATATGAACACCGATTTTTTTGTCGAAATTCATGTCCAAATCTTACCTCAAGATTTGTATATAGACATGGGTCAAAAATTACAACCCCCATAAGTCGGTCAAATCTCATCCGATTTCCACCAAGTTTGGCTTTTTCTTCATGGTTTTCCCTCTAGATTAATCTGGCATTCAAATCTGAACACCGATTTTTTAGTCGAAATTCATGTCCAAATCTTACCCCAAGATTCGTATATAGACATGGGTCAAAAATGACAACCCCCATATCTCGGCCAAATCTCATCCGATTTTCACGAAGTTTGGCTTCTTCTTTATGGTTTTCCCATTAGATTAATCTGGCATTCAAATCTCGACACCGATTTTTTAGTCGAAATTCATGTCCAAATCTTACCCCAAGATTTGTATATAGACATGGGTCAAAAATTACCACCCCCATAACTCGGTCAAATCTCATCCGATTTCCACGAAGTTTGGCTTTTTCTTCATGGTTTTCCCTCTAGATTAATCTGGCATTTAAATATGAACAGCGATTTTTTAGTCGAAATTCATGTCCAAATCTTACCCCAAGATTTGTATATAGACATGGGTCAAAAATTACCACCCCCATAACTCGGTCAAATCTCATCCGATTTCCACGAAGTTTGGCTTTTTCTTCATGGTTTTCCCTCTAGATTAATCTGGCATTCAAATCACGACACCGATTTTTTAGTCGAAATTCATGTCCAAATCTTACCCCAAGATTTGTATATAGACATGGGTCAAAAATTACCAACTCCATAACTCGGTCAAATCTCATCCGATCTTCACGAAGTTTGGATTTTTCTTCATGGCTTTCCCTCTAGAGCCCTGCCAAGGGAACTTTTTTTTTATTAATTTATTTGGTGTTGGAATAAGAGGGTTCAGGGTATCCCCTAGTCGGGAGCTTCTGACTAGAACCTCTTACTTGTTATACAACTTTCAGTTAAGCAGTTTTAAAAGCCAATTAAAGTTTTGGAGGTAAAATGAAGATATGCAATTGATTACAGATATTTAATCATACTTAAAGCTTGTCCTTTGGGTTAGCTGTCCTCTAAAAACTAGCCAATCCACTTGCCCTTAAAGCTCGCCTATTCGCTTTGTGCTCCAATTCATTCTTTTAAAGCTTTTATTGACTTCGGCCATTTGAAACCATAAATAAATTACTTACTAGTTTAGCTGTCCTCCAAAAATGATGCCTTTCCTTATCTAACCAATGCAATTGCTCTTAAAGCTCACTGACTAAATACAATAGCTGGAAGCTTAAAGCTCGACTATTCGCTTCTTCCTCTAATTAATTGAATTGCACTTAAAGCTTTAATTACCATGCTGCTTTGTTTTCGGCTCTTTGCCGAATTTTGGCTTTAGTGTTATTTTTTTATGAAGTTCATAAAACCATTTAAGTACACAAGATTAAAGCTGGGCCAACTGTTGACACCATTCGCTTCCCGCTTGAAAGAGTTAATTTGTTTGTAAAGCTCATCCCTAATAAGTACTTTTGAGGCATCTTTAGCCTTAGTTAAATAAAATAAAAATTTGACTCTGGCTACAGCCAGATTTCGGGTTTGCTGGCCGACTCCAAGTACTGACGACTCTAAATGGGCCATATTGTGGCGCCATTCTTTTTTATGCCGCCAATAGAATGGCTTTTCTATAGACAGACAAGTGTTTGTATTTTCCAGGCCATTGCCAACAGCTGACCATAAAAGGAGTAAAAGAAGTTGTTCGAGCATATAACGTGCTCCGATTTCAATTGCACTTTTTATACTCTGCCCCCGAGGCAACAAATGTTTTTACGAGTATGTTCGACTGTTAATTGAATGAAATGATATTTGTTTCAGTAATGTTATAAAAAGTATATAAAGAACTCGACAGTCAGAAGAGACCATATTGCCATAATTGCCGGCGCATGTAAATCCTCAGATTAGTAGCTATCAGGGATGTCCAAGTAGCGGCAACATTTCCTGCCCAGCTACTGCAACTGCCACTGCTTTGTTTGCCCAGACGGGCTGCTCTTTTCCACGTTTTTTTTTTTTTTTTGTTTTTGACAATTTAAAGCCCACCCAGATTTATATGTGTGTATGTGTGCGAGCGCGCTGTAATCCTTTTGTATATTTGATAAATTTTATTGCCTACGCTATTATTGCAGTCAAATGTTATTTTGCCTTTTACCAAACCCCTCCCCCAATCCCTAGAGCCCCGTGCTGTGCGGAGACAGCACGATCATGATCATTAATTCTCATGCGGTTTCTAATTCATTAAACAACCCTCGTTTGCTGCCGCACAAAAACTCATCCAAAGCTGCTGACAAATTGCCTCGCATTGTTTTGCATTTTATCGTGGGGTTTCAGGGTGGGGAGTGCAGGAGGGTTGCAGCCCAAAGTCAAACCCCCTGCCGCTGCCGCAGACGGCAGTGGCAAACCTTTTGTCATCATATAATGGACCATAAAACAAACTGTATCAATATTTTATGCATTGAGCGCAACACATGTTTAGATTGACATAATTTCCCGACTTTTCTCCTGCCAGCCTGCCGGCAGAAGCCCATCCCTTGGTCGACACTTGTTTGCGGGCCGCAGCTAATTTCTTTATAGTGGCCCGTCAAGTGTTATATGAAGAGAAATTCTGAGCATATGCGCGACATAAATGAGAAATTTGCATAGAAAAACCATGAAATATTCTTTTTGGTGCCAGCAATTTGTCAGGAATGATTCGACAAAAATGTTGCTACTGCCAGATGTTTGTTTATTGTAATTGCATTTATATGAGACGCACAATTAACGTTCTTCGTTGTCTCGCCATTGCTGATGATCATCAGCAACATCAACATCATCATCGATCAATCGGGGCAAGTCGAGGCGCTGTCCCCACAATCATATCTAGAGTGTATCTGCCGTGTCGCTGTCTTGTCTGACAGACTGACTGACTGTCGGACTGACTGGCCCAACAAATGGATATCTATATAGATATTATAGTTATCGTATCGGTCGGGTTTATATTTGCCACGCATATTTGCCGCTTGGCGCCACTTATGTGCATACAACTTCTTCAATTGTTTACCAACTATCGTTTACAAACAATTACAACTGTTGTGCGTGCTTGTCGGATGTTTTTTTTTTTCTTATACAAACAATGACAACACGGCCCATAACTGCTTGAGGCTGTCAATAGCTGGGCTCCATTGGCGTCGCATATTCAAACAGCTGCCCGGGGGCATATTTTGATAAGCTTTGCGTTCTCGGCCCAGTTTACACACACGGTTAGGGCCATAAAAAGCGGCTGCCAGCTGCGCCAAACTTTTAGCCGCAATCGAGGCGGCAATTTATGGCAACTTTGCACCACGGCCACCCGCTGCCGCTGCCGCCGCTGCATTGGCTAAGCCTAAAGCCCAGCAACATCGTGGCACCACCCAAAAGCGAGCCACTCGGCCTGCAACATAAATTTGCGCTGCACAGCGCAAAATGGCGACGGTTTTTGGCCAGTGAGCGCTTAAGCCGCGCGAATTCAAACGGCAATTTGGGGCAAGGCTGGGGGGCAGGCAGCATATTTACGAGTTGGCGCTAGCATTTTGTATGTGCTGCTGTTTGCATTTGTATTCGCGGCAGCTACGTGCTGCGGTTGCATTGCGGTCATTTTGGCCCAGTGGACAAGGCTTCCGCAGCCGCCGCAGTAATTGCCGCATAATTGCACAACACACACACACACACACTTTTGTTGTGGCTGCCGCTGCTGTTATTTACAATTTGCGGCTTTGACTGTGCATTTCATTTGATATGAATTGAACTGCTCACCCGAACTCTGGCCTCGGTTAGATTGGTCCACATTGCGATTTCCTCTCGCGTCGACATGTCCGGATAGCGATTGCGACTGAACGTATGCTCCAGCTCCTGCAGCTGCTGGGAGGTGAAATGGGTGCGCTGACGCCGCTGGCGCTTGTTCTTTTTATCATTCTTAGGCTCATCGGCGCTGGTGGTCATCGGCTCATCATGCCCAGAATTTGATATGTTCTCCGTTTTAATTGTAGTCTCATTGACGCTGCGATTGCCTGCAAGCGAAAAAATATGCAATTAAACAGAGTATGCATTTAAAACAATTATAATCTGCCTGTAAATTTATAATCTAGCTCGTTAAAATGTGTTTGCTCTGCTTTATGGTGTCTGTCTAAGCTTTTATCTGCCTTGCATTTGCAGGAGTGCATAGTGTCTAGGAGGCTACTTCAGCAGCAGTTCACGCCCTAATCAGTTGCGCCCCGCTGCCGTTACTAATTGCCATGCAACCTTCAAATGACGCCAAACCCCAATCAGGCCCAACCACAAGCACAGCTACCACTTCCACTTCCCCACACCCACTCCCTTTCCCCACTCGTTAGCACACTTCAAACGTGTGCCGCCGGCGGGGCTAGCCTAGTTTTTGGCTGCTACCAGATTTACAACCCGGTTAATGTGTGTTCCGATCATGTCATCGATCATGGCGGCGTGCTCTCTCTGTTGTTGTCGTTGCCGAGCACCGAAACTTAATCAAATAAACTAAATGACTGGCCATATGAAATATCAGTTTCGGTGGCTCGACAACGTCGTCATAGTGTCGCAAATCAAAGCATTCTAATCGAAAACTAAACGGACGCGAGTGAGTAAATTTTCGCCGACAAAGGCCAAGAGGCAACTCCACCCTTTTACCTGCCCCCCTAGCCACAGAAACTATGCGCCACCACTTTGGCCATGCTTTAGAAAATTATTATAAATTATGTTTCTTATCTAATACACTCGCACGTATAGAATCAATAACGAGCCACTCGGTGAGTCCACGGTTCCACGCTTATTCCGAACCACATCATGCGATTAGGCGCAACGATCCAAAATAACTATTATTCATGTTTCAGAAAATGACTTGTTTATTGTCAAAGCTGGTGTAAAAACTAATGTTATATTAAGTTATAAAAAAGAAGTTTCAGTTGAAAACTGAGAAACTGAATAATCTTTCCATTAAGAGATAGTTACGTAGTATAAAAATAATTATAAATTAACAATCCCAAGTTTCGTCGAAATAGCTGAAGAACTTTTAGCTCTATATACTCAAGAAATCATAATAGGAACTCAACTGCACTTCAGATATGAATAACTCTTATTTCTGAGCTAAGACTATATAGTATTGTATATCTAAGATTAGATTAAGTAGAATAAGGTAAAACTTAAAGCCGATTTATTCACGTCATATAACACCTAAACTCTGATAAGACTTTGTTTTATTCAGTTGTCGTGTACTTACCATCTTTGCGATCCCGACTTCGATTCGTTAAGGTGGATGACGATGAAGTTTGAAAGTTATTTAAATGTGTGCTATCCAAACTATTTGCTACGGCGGTCATGGAGCTATGACTATCACGAAAATCACCGGTTTCGGCCCAAACTGAAAAGAATAAACCAGCAAAGGGCACAGAAATATACAAAAAAATTAATGTTTTAACATAATGTTTTAAAGGGTATTAAAGGGCGTAGTGGTTCGCACAAGATGCGGCTCCTTAAACTCCCATAAAAAGGCGCATCATAAAAGGATTTATAGCTTTTGGACGCCACTGGACCAGTTTTAAATGGGCTTTTGGTTAGCTCGATTAAGGATACGAGTGCCCGGGCTTTTGAGCTGAGAGCCAAGACTTTGTTCGTTAATTGCTCGCTGGAGGAAGCATTATGAAAACTTTACGCCATGAGGCTTTATTTGAGAGCGAGCAAAGATAGTCAGGATAAATATATACTTATACCCCCATCTCAGCCATAAATCGAACTCAAATGAGCCATGCGTTTGGCTACCCTACAATAATTGCTGTAATTATCCCAGTTAGTCACGCTGAATTTCATATTAATTAGTCAGCCTTTGACATGTTCCCCAATGTAGATTTATGGCCCGACAATTGATATTCGGCTTGGGGCCTGCGAACCTTGAGGTGTGCGCCCATATGGCATAGGTCTCGACTTCCTGGCCATTGCTCCTAAATCTTATGGACTTCCTCGGGCTGTTCGTTGCATAATTTATGGCATTTTCACATGTTGTCAGTTTTATGTGGTTTTTAAAGTGCCTACCAGGCTGGCTGCAAACACCCGCTGCGACATTTTTGTGAAACAATTAGCTCGATGCTGGTGTGAAGTTTGAGGGATACTTGGGTGAGCTCTCTCCCTCTCTCCCTCTCTCTCTCTCTCTCTCTCTCTCTCTCTCTCTCTCTCTCTCTCTCTCTCTCTCTCTCTCTCTCTCTCTCTCTCTTTCTTACTCACTCCAGCAAGTGCCCACAGGTCTATTTATTACAAGGTATTTTCTTTAATTTATGCCATTTACAACGGTCTCACTTGCGCTTTATAGTGTAAAACTATGTCCATAAAATGTTTTATCTTTGAAGCTAAATATCTTAATTGATATTTTTAGCAAATCATAGTTGGGGTTCCACTCATATTCCCTTTGGTGCATTATGTGACAGACACATTATTTTATATTATTCGGCAAATATGCAATGAATGCAATTTAGCGGCTGATATGTAGTTAAAGTCGCACATGGGAATATTTTAAGGGCGGGAATTGAGCAAAACTACGAAAAATAAAATAGTTTTCAGCATTCACATGAATTACAGATCTGCATATAAATATCAACGCCTTAAAATATATATAGTTTAGAACTAACTTAGCTGGATTTGCGTTAAAAACCATCCTTGGCAGCCTAGTCTGTATCTCGAAACCGAAACCTGCTTCATTATTAACATATATTACATTTTACCATTAAATAATTCAGAATGTTAAATATATGTATATGTATATGAATAATATTTCCATTTGTTTTTGTCTTCAGCTGTCATATCAATATCTCCTTTTAATTTTTTAGCCGAACATCTTTAACTGGAAAATCATAATATTCTTCAGTTAGACTGGAGTCTGAAGAGTCTTCGGTTCCAAGTTGGTAGACAGCTAAATATAGTATCTTATACATTCTGTAAAAACTGTTTCTCTTTGTATTTTTGGTATACTTGATGTTCAGCTATATATTTCTCGATTACTCAATAAGTATAGCATGTGCAGACGTCATTCATAAAGCAAGTTTTTTAATGATTCGACCGTCCCTTAAATACCGAAATGATTCTTGATAGCCGTTGCTGTTGTGCCCGAATTTCAACCTGAGCATGTGTCGTTAAATGGGTCGCCAGCGTCATCTGTGCTATCCGCTAGAGCTGTTGTCCCCTCCCTCTCCCCTTGCCGTACGCATATAGCCGTGTCAAGTGGAGAAATGTAAAAATATTTTCTTAACGACGCGCTCTAAAAAACGCAGAGAAAAGCACGTACCGCAGCGATTTTTATTTGTTTAAATATTTCGTACAAATTTTCCTAATTTTCCGACTAATTTGAATTCGTTTTTCGACTCAAATTCGAATTGTTGTCGCCTGTCAGTTGGCGTTGACATTTTGTTGGCGCAGTTGTTTCACAGTTTTACACTGCTTTTCAAGGTTCTGTGAGTGGCAAGTGTCAATACGAATAGCTGGCCAAGTGTCTCGTGGGCGTAGCCCGAACATTTTGGCCAGCCATGTCAGGAGTGCGCTGTGACAACAAGTGTCAGCGTCAATTTTTAGCCACATTCTTGTCAGCCATTTTGCAGAGGCGTTTAGGCAAACAAATGGGCAAATTGTGCCTGGGCCAAAACTCACAATGAAAGTCAACAAACGCACACCCTAACGAAGGGCGCAACTATTAATCAAGCTGCAAATATGATCGTGCAGAAAAATGAGAAATAAATGTTTGCCCAAGCAATGATTTTGATTTTTATATCCTGCACACACACACACACACATAAACACACAAACAGGGAGAGACAGTTGGCCATTTGTCGCATTCATTCATAAACATTTTCCACACAGTCACACACACACACACAGTTTTCCACAAAAACTTTGACACACGACACGGCAAGGCAGTCGTGGCCAGGAGCAGCAGCTATAAATTATCCTGCCCGTGCACTGTCAAACCTCGGCGCAGGATACAAAGGATACACATACAGACCAAAACCCAGACCCAGAGACAGACCAAGACCAAAACAAACAAACAATCGCAACGAGCCTGTGGAAATTGCTATATGGGAAGCTGGACAAAACGTACGCCCCGAGTGCGCGTCCTTTGACACGAAGCACAACCCAACAAAAAAAAAAAAGGAAAAGAAATGAAAATAGGAGGAAGGATGCGAGCCATAAGCAACGTTTACTTGTAGCATTTTGTGACCAAAAACAAACGATTAATGTGACAGTTGAATTGGGATGCCCAGACAAGCAAACAGACACACACACACACACACACATATATATATATCACACACAGATACAGCCATAAGCAGGAATTGGAATTGGCATCCTTTGGCCAGAGCAATTGCCCCTTTTTCCCTCCTGTCTGCCGCTATTTTGACAAGTTAGTTGCTTTTATTCTTCTCCAAAAACTAAACCACCCGTTTGCGTGGAGGGGGACATATAAAAGGGTTAAAAGCTGTGGTTGCCTGCCAGATAAATATGTTGCATATACACACATATATACATAAATATTTCCAATTTCACGGCACATTTGCTCGGGCCAAAGAGAAAGTGTTAATATGCGACAGGTTATTTTATTTGTGGCCATATGTTGACATTGTCTATGCGCTCCTTTTGTAGAGCTGGCCAGAAATTAGCCAGAAAGGCTGTAAAAATTAAGTTTCAAGGGGCGAGCAACGAGAAGAAAAACTTAATTTTTATATGCCATTGGGTGTATCACAACAATCTACAAAGTTAATCCTTTATAGTTGCTTTTGTGCAAGCCAGACAATGACAATGGATGTACGTGTGCCATGGCAGGACATACGTTATGGCCATATAATGAGCTTGGCTGTGCCACACACACACACAAGCACACACACACATACACACAAGCATACATACTCACACAGATATAGAAATAAAAATCACTGCAATAACATTGACATGGCCCCAAAGTACGAGCAACCCTCCGAGCAGAACGAATCCCGGCCAGACAGACCAGCTAGCCAGCGAGTCAGCCAGCCGGAGCTCATTAGCCGACGTCCTGTAGATAAGGATAAGACATGCAGACCCCAACAAAAACAACAAGAAAAACAACAACTGTCGTTTCTCTGTTGGCTTCTAGTTGCCGTTGTAGTTTTCCACTGCAATGCCCTTTTCCCTAATTTTCTCGACTGTCAGCTCAAATTTTGGCTCCAGTTGATGCCGTTGGGTCATTTGCCCAACTCTGGCCATTCGTCCGCTCGTCCGTTCTTCCGTTTGCCCATTTGCCAGTGGCGGCAGCTGGAAGCCAGCAACGCCTGGACACAGCCCGTGCAAGTTTGTTGCCTCAGATAATCTCTAATGCGACATTTTTACGAAATTGCACGATACGGATAATGAGAAAGAGGCGGCTGTGGAGTACTAGGGAAAACCCCGTAATCGTAACCCAAACTTTTGCAGTGAAGTTTTCCAACGCGCTGCGACGTAATTGCGGTCGTGGTCGAGTTGCGGCTGGCGCTGGAGATGCGACCAGATACGAGGGGGAGTTGCTTGCTTGCCATAATGACATTATAATTTATATAAACGAAATCAGTGCTATCAGAGTCAGAGAGAGAGAGAGAGAGAGAGAGTGGGCGAGAGAAAGAGGCAGAGAGAGGAAGATAAACCGAGCCACATGTCTCCGTCTGTGCGCCAGGACACGGGATTGATATATGGGCAGTTTTTGCGTTGTCCTTACAAGTTGCAGCACTTCAGCGAGTTGGCAAAAACTAGAAGTGGGCGTCACCAATGGGTGATTATCATTGGTCCGGTTCGTTCGCCCACAATTTATGGGGTGTTTGCTTGGCAATTGCAATGCGATCTTTGTTTTTGCCGGCTGGCTGCCTTGGCAATTGAGTTGCCAGCTCTGACATATGTGAGCAATTTTCCAGAGATTTACCCTAGAAAATGCACTGACAATGATGAAAATTGCTTAAAGTGCCAGCAACAGCCTTAAAGATACAAATTACAAAATGGCTGGCGAAAATCCAAAAAAAAAAAACATAAAAAAAAACCGAGAAGAAAATCGATAAAATATATTTATATTCATAAAGAAATTTTGAGACATGCCACAGCCGCCATACGTTGAATTTAAAGTAGATACAGGCCGCACATCCTTGGGCGAATGTATCTGTATCTGAAGCCGCGCCGTGTCGCATATGCGCCGTGTCGAGTCCCAGCTACGCTTCATTTTTAGGCGATTTATAAAGGAAGTCTTGAAGCTGGCTGTGCTTTATACTTTTTTTTTTTGCAATAAACATTTTAGGGTATACCCCAAATGCTTCTACTCTAGCTAATTTCTGTTAGTTTAGATGTATCTTGTTGCTTGTCTTCTAAGTATCTTTTAGTCTTCTCTTAAAGCTAATTTGCCTAAAAGTACTTTTATTATACCTAAAGCCTACAAGCTGAAGTACAAGCTGAAGTGTTGGGACAGCAATACTGACTCTCGAGCTGCACGTGCCATTAACACTTTATGCCAGGCACTGGCCAAATAAATAATCAGTAAACAACAACAACAGAGAGTAGACCCATGTAAAATGCTACACAGATGTAAGTGCGTGCATTAATGTATGTATATATGAACAGCGAGCACAATAGATAACAAGATTTCATCAGAAAAGTCGAGCAGAAAATTCTCGCACTCTCAGCCACAGATACAGATACTGATACAGATACAAATGTAGCTGGTGCTACACTTAGATACAGCCGGCAATTTCATATTTTATCAAGGTCCACAAACGGCAAACATTGTCGTAGGCAAATAGTTCTACCATATCTATGCAAGTATCTGTATCTGTATCTGTAACAACTTGGCAAACACGCAAAGGACTCGTATAATAATAATAATAATAATGAAAAACCAAATTTGTTGTAGTACGATATTGTATTATTTGCACAGCAACCAAAATGTAAACTGCTCTGATTTGGTTTGTTGTGTACTTTCAAGGTTTTTGTTAGTCTTTGGCTTTGCTCTGGGCAAATACAAATGAAGATCTTTTTGTGCATGCACAGCCAAATAGATACACAGATACCCAGACGGGCTATGGTCAGATAAGGTGCCTAATTGCTGTTAACAGTGAAAGAGATGCGTCGCAAGGTCGCAGGATAATGTCATAAATTCAGATTGTCCACACACAGAAACGAGCACAATCGGATATAGTTGATACGATAGAAAGCTCCTGAGCAGTTGCGCTGGCAGCTGCTGACAACATAATTCAGCCCGCTAGACAAACATGGCCAGCTGCCAGTCGTTGAGCAGAGACATTAAAGAGTTGTAGTCCGGGGTATTAAAAGGCATTAACTTTTTATTGTTTTTATTGTTTTACACGCTGCATCGCGCATACATAATAAAAGAGTATAAAACTGATGCTGTCCGGCGAATGATGGGAAATTAGTGTACGTGAACTTGAAATCCTTTGAGCGCCAAATTTCAAATAAAAACACGCACAGAAGCCATAAAATAATGTTTAAAAAATATGTGTATATATATAAAAACAAGCAACTAAACGAATTCAGAGGTGTGTGCGGCTCATAAAAAACTGCAATAATAAAAAAGCATTTCCACACACCAAAATAAATACTCGCACAAATAAAACTGACATTTTTCATAACACAAACGAATGGCTGTGTGTAGGTGGTTTGATTTTGTGGTCGTGCTAAGAGGGGCAGCCATTAAATTGGCCAATAATTGAAAATCCAATTGCAATGTGCAGCAGTCCAAGCTGTGGGCACGTTGTGCAACCATTATTTAAACAAGAGCGTAAACAATAACGACAACAACAGCAACAATTGGCAACAAACAACAGCCAGAGTGAAATTTGTTGGCAACATGCGCGTTGCCTGTGGTCCGCACCTGCAGCTAGAGCCACAACTTCAACTGTCTGCCTGCTGTGTGTGTGTTCGAGTGTGTGTTCGAGTGTGTGTCCTGGTGTTCATGTCAAAGGATAACTGCACTCGTGCATATTTTAAGTGCGCACAATTTTTGTGTTAAATTGTTTTGCCACGCAAATAAATGGCCAGACAGCTGCGGCAACCATACCAAACCACACCCTGGCCCCCGCACCGTCGCCCTCTTCTGCAGAGTGCAAAGTTTGTGAGGCTGTTAACCCGGCAGAGCAGGTGCTTAGGGCATAGGTTCAAGGCAGACAGCTAACAAATCTCTTAGCTAAAGCAGACAAATACTTATGAGACGCTTAAGCATTAGCATGTAAAGAGATCATTCCGAATGTATTAAAGGTATGAAATCTGAGTTTCATAAATGGAGCTTCTGAAATTAGCCTAAAGCTGCGAATGGGATTCATCTCGTGCGACAATTGAAAGAATAATTAACAAAAGTTGTTAATTTGTCAGGAAAGTGCAACTTCAAATGTGCTTCAAAAGCTAAGCTTTCAAAGAAAACGTATGAATAAGTTATATTTACCTTAAAAGCGCCTCTAACTGACTGTAATCGTATCGTAAGTATACTTTTGCACACATTTGTAACGTTCTAATATAGTTAAATATTGGATTTATAAAAAATTTAAAAATAAAATAAATAAAATATATTTTTAAGTCAAGTTTAGTTTGTATTACTATTATAGTTATAGGTACTTAGTTCGGATCAAGGCAAAACAAATTCCCTGCTTAATGTGCGTTTGCTAAAGCTCGGACCCAATTTTAGGCTCAAAACATATTTTCAATATTATAATAAATCAATTCGATTAAAAAGTTAATATTTGCTCGTTGTACTGAAAATATTGTGAGCCGTAAATATTTTCATATACAAGAGGAGAGCTAGATCTGCACGCTATCCAAAATTGGCATCTAACAATTATGGTAAGATAAATTCCACTGCACCTGGGACTTCTGGACTACTACTAGGACTACAACATAGAGTCTGAAATCAATTGAGTGATCATCTGAAGCGTACACCTAAGTAACATATTGAATATCTTGCCGCATCCAAATTCCCATAACAATTAGCCTAAACGGAAAAACAAACACTTGACTACAAAGCACATATCAAATTTCAGCCATCGAACGACCCTCGAACTGAACCACGCAGCATCAAAGCGCTGGCGAGCTGAGTTGGGAATGGGTGTGGGAAATGGGAATGGGAAGTGGAAAGTGGAAAATGGGAACAGTGTTGCCTTCGGCACTACGCCAGAAGGGTGCTCAATTAGCCGTGACATGCGCAGCAAAAGTGAAATTTGTTTAGTGCTGCTTCTTCTTCTTCTTCCCATTCTATTTTTTTGTTCTTGTACATATATTTTTTTGTTGTTGTTGATACGCTTTTATGAAGATTATGCACTAATGATTACACAATGATTATGAATATGCATGAGGCGTGGATGTTGTCACAGAATGGAGTTAGGGCGAGGGCGTGGACGAGTACGAAAGAGTGAGTAAGAGAGAGGGTGAGGGGAGACCGACAAGTGGCCAGCCGGAATTTTTGCACATTGTTTAGAAATTTACGAGCATCGCATGAATGATGAAGTACAAGTATTGAGAGCGTGAATGATTGCCATAACGAATGAATATTGAAATGCCGACAGCTGTGGCTGACAGTTGCAAAAATGCGCAATGAATACGCGTATGTGAATGTCGACACTTGTTGAAGATGCAACACACACTCTCACGCACATACACACACATTGGGTGGCACAGAAAATATCACGTATACGCACCGCATAGCTGCGAAGCTGTGTGAATTATGGCCGCATTAATTACACGTAAATTTGTTAGTTGCTCAGACGAATAAATTGAAGAACTAATTGGCCAAGAAATTGAGTTGGCAGTCGGGCCGCGGCCCAGCTGGCCCCATAAACTGTATCAAAATGTTGGATATCGTCTCTATTCGGTACTTACTTCTGAGTTTCTCGAGCGGCTCGTGCTTCGGTGTGTGCGGCGGCACGACGGCATGATGCGGATGCTGCGGATAGCTGCCGACCAGATCCTGACCGGCTGCCGTGTGATGCAAGTGACTGAGGCTGCTGATGGGCATCAGGCTCGAGATGGCGGGTGAGATGCTGACCGAGGAGCTGGAGTCGTGTAGACTGTGATGGCTGTGCAGATGATCCGCACCGGAGGCGCTGCTGCCGCCGCCATTTACGGTGGAGCTGCCACTGCTTAGCGCTGTGCTTGTGGTGGTTGCGCTCTCCGCCGATCCCGCCGAGCCGGCACCGTTGGCGGTGCCCGCGCTAACCAAATCCTGCAGGCAGAGCCCTGTCGATTCGGCGGACATGGCCTCCAAGCCGTTGAGCGCACCGCTGACAACGCCACCGCCACCGCCGCCGCCCGCAATGCCACCCGGACCGAGGGCAGTGGCCGAGCTGGTGACGACGCCCAGGCCGCCACCAGCAGCACCACAGCCGCCGGCGGCGGCGCGGTCCATGCCTAGATACGTTGGAAAAATGGTGGAAAAGCTCTGGGCGACAGCCTGGTGCGGCTGATGGTGGTGATGCAGCGCGGACTGCTGGTGCGCCGGATGCGCGGGATGTAGCGGCGGCAAATGGTGATCCCTGCCGTTGAACTTCGTCGTGACGACGTCCTTAAAGTGTTGCAAGAATGTCGTCGTCTTGAGGCCGGTATCTTCCAACTGTGGCGAAAGCAGATCCAAGTTGCGGCTGTATCTGAGCTTGCGGCGGCTGTGAAGCGCGCTGCGATGCTGCAATCACAAAAGAGTTGAATACAAGCTATGTTAGTTGACAATACACGGGTATTCCTTGTGTTCATTATCACAATTACTTTCGCTCTAGCCCTATCTTAATAAAGTATCTATATCTCTGGGGCTGCGGCTGCGGCTACCTGGCAAAGCAAACGCAGCGTTTTTTTTCTTTTCGTTTTTTATCACATCGAGGCAAACAGTGAGCTTAACCCAAACACCAGGCAACGGCAACTTAACACCAAAGACGTCAAGGGGTTAATACCACATCACCAACACCAATCTGAGGGCGGAGATGCCGATGCTGGGCAACTTGTAAGCGGCCTGTCCACGGCCAGGCCTAGGTGCTGTGGCGTCGGGGTAATCGTAAATCGTTGTGTGGTTGCCGCGGTGGCGGGTGCCGCGCGTTGATAGACGTTTGCGACTTAAGTTGACAACGCAGGCCACGACATGGCAGAGCCAGACACAGAGATTCCTACACCTACAACGTGCTTATCAGTCCCACAGAGCGAGTGAGAGCGGGCGAGCGGCGTGGAGCTTGCAAAGATAACAAGCTGCTGCTTATCAATGTAACAATATTTACATTTCTGTGAATTTTTTTTATATTTTTATTATTGCTGCAGCCGCAGAGAGGCCGTGTTGAATTTGGCAACCAGCAGACGGATGGGAGGGGAGGGAGCATGCAGGGAGCAGGGTGTGATTGCTGCTGGGCAATAAACTCCGAGCGGTCGCTTTATAAATTCTTGAAAAATAGAAACACTAAACTAAGAAAACTAGTGACAGTAGCCCAAAAATAGGCACAAATGTTCGTAAATCAATTAGCTGTTGCCCTGTTGTAGCTGGAAATACTCAGAAATAGATGGTGGCATTGCCCCAGGTAAACTCGATTCGCTATTCGCTCAGTTCTGTTCGGGCTGTTCGCATTTCGCGCTATCAACAAAGCCAAACAAAGCGCGCGTTGCAATAAATTCTTATCTAATCTCAATCATAACAAAAATAAAAGCATTCACCCAAAAGCAAAAAGAAAACCAACTAATAGTTGTAAAAAATTTAATAAATTATAAAGCACACAAAAATATGTATATATCTATATACAAAATAACAGTTTACAAAACCCCTCAACTTTCCAGTCATAAATCCAGAAATGAAGAAAATAACTCTAATGTAATCATGAAAATATTTGTTTGCTGTCGCGCGGCGCCTGCTTTAAATTATGGTTAGCTTTTGTTTTAAACAAAATTATTAAAGTTCAGTGTGATTTGTCACTTTTGCTTTCGATTGCGCCTCAAATTGAAAATTTATACCTGATAATGCCGCTTGATCTGCACTTGATCCCCAGTGGATTAGTGCGGCTGTAATATTAAATTGCCTTGTGGTTGTTTTAATAACAATAATAAACATAATTTCACATTAAACAGATTTATATAGCATATAGCAATGTGGCCCAACGTTTTGTTTATTTATGACCACACGCAATTTTTGCATTTTTTTTTTTATTGTGTTTTTCTTTATGATGAAAAGTTTTGCATTTATTATTGTTGCATTGAAATACTCCTGTCAATTTGTGTGGCATCATTTGTGGCATATTTATATGCCGCAGTGCTTATAAATTTTATTTTTTATTTTATTTTTTTTTATCTTTCGTGGAACATTTCTGTTTGTTTTTTATTTATTTATTTTTTTTTTTGTCAAGTCATTTTATTTCAGAAGTGAGAATTTATTTACATAATGATTTTCTAAGACAAAGAATGCCAGAAATTATTTTATGCCACTTTATGGCCGCAGCTTTTGCTGTTATTCTCCCCCAAATTGTTGCTGCCATGCGGCAACAGCCCAGCCTACCCCCTAGAAAAGGGGGCGTTATCGGCTGCTGGCAGAGCTGGCAAATAGTTATAGTCGTAGGTGCCAAGATTTCAATGTTTTGCCAAGGTTCTCCAATGTGTTGGCATTTCTATTAACTTTTATAAATTTATTTAAATTTAATTTCAACAACATTTGGCTCCCACTTGGGATATCTTTGCTTGTGTATTTCGGTTTTTTCCATCCGAAAAGAAGCGCAAAACCCAAATTCGCATCTAATTGTTTAAGTGACGTCAATGGCAGTTAACGTCTGTGGTTTTATTTTGGGGTCTACTCCGCCCAGACCCAGACCCAGGCCCCTTACAAAATGCTCCACGAATGCGAGACAGTTTATGATTGCACTGTCGGACGATTATGAGTCGCAGATATAGACGTTGATTTATGTTTGGCGTGAGAGTGCAGCAAAAATTTAAAACCCATCTGAGCCCTAGTTCAACAAGTTTTTATTGCTAGCTTTAAGATTTTCGGGAGCTTTTCGTGTTGTTATTTCTCTAAGCAGGCAGGGTCTGATCCAACTCTATATGCACAGTTAATAATGTTCAGCAGTTTGTTAGTAAACTGACATGAATTATGATTGTAATCATCCCGTTTGTTTTCTTGGAAGACATTATTGAACAATCCGATCATTTACATTCCTGTATATATAATGTCTACCTTTTACTACCAATATACTTTATATGCTTTAACTATAACTTTAAAATATTCGAGTAGGACCATTTAAATGATCTGTTTTAATTCTATAATATTATATTTTTGTTTACAACTCATACTATATATTTATGTGAAATTTCCCTTTAAGAAATGCCACTGCTTCATCTCTTTGCTTTCATCCCAGCCTAGTTTTCACAGATTTTTATAAAATCTAGTTAATTTATTCATTATATAAATATTTGGTTTATCTGTTAATCTATAATTACTCACCTCTAGTTTATGGAAAGAAATTCAAATTAATCCACTTGCTAGCGCCGTCAATTTGACTGCTAGAAATGCTGCCGTGCTCCAAATATGATCCCCAGAGGTGAGGTTTTGGTTTTGGTTTCGGTTTTGGTAACGGTTTGAACTCTGGTCTTTAGTTTGTTCGTTATTTTAGTGGATATCACTTGAATGTGGGGCAAATGTTATGCACTTTGCAATAAATCAAATTGCTTTCATTTGAAATTCATTTGTTGGCTGACGCGAAAATCAAGAGAAAATTCTCCAAATCTCAGATCGTTGATCGCTGAACGTGAACGTGAATGAAATGTCGCGTGGGTTGCGTCGGCAATAAATCTTTGGAATCTTTGAGAAATTGTCGGGAATTTATTGATAAATGAGAAACTAGAATTTCTCAGCGCTTTTTAATATTATTGTTGTTGATGTTGATGTTGATGTTGATGTTGTCGTTGCAACAGATTTGTGTGCTGCTTTTTGTTTTTATGACTTTCGATGGCTAATCAAAGGCTAAAATATTTAAAGCGCTTTTTATAGTTTGCACGCAATTTGGCATCGCTTTTTGTTGTGGTTGTTGTTGTTGTTGTTGGTATAATTGGTGTTGTTTTTGTGTTTGTGTTTGTTGTTGCACACGCGTGCGAGCGAGATGGCAGCTCGGGCTCAAATAAAAATCACAGTGATTATGTTAGTGATTAATTTTAAGTAACTCATGGAAATGTTTTTAATGCGACTTTGATGCCAGCTCGTTGCTGTTATAGCCTCACAGACGAGCACACACACATACAGATACAGGCACACACACACAGTATTAACGCACACACGTGCGGTGCTTTTTAGCACACAAACACACACATAGAAATAATCAGGCGGTTGCGATGTCGTAGTCGTAGTCGGTATACATTCGGCTGTTGATTCTAAATCCGCGTCGGCTTTAGTGTTTTAATAATTTAATCCAGCGCGTAATTAGGGTAAGTATATGAAGTAGCTCAAATGTTTGATTGGCTGACGGAAGCACACACAAAACGGAAACACAACGCGTCTGCACCCGTAACAGGACGTGGCTGAATTGAAAACGAATTCAAAAGCACACGCAAAAGTATCTGTTGGATATGTCGCAGCGACGGCAGCCGCAGTAGCAGCAGCAGCAGCAGCAGCGAGTGCGTGACGGCAGCGACAGTTGTTGCTGCTGGTTGGGGGGTGGGTTGGGTGTTCAGCGGCTCACCCGTTGGCCTGCAACTTGCAGCGACTATAACAAACGGTAAGCACACACACACACACGCAGATACACACACACAGACGGCAGCGAGTACGGCGAGCACTCGACGAGTAGCTGCCAGAGTCACGACAAACGAACGTTGAGCAGCGGCGACGACTGACTGGCAAACGGCAACTGAATAACGGAATTTGATTTTACCAACTAACTCGCACACGCAACGCGAACGTTTCGCAGGCGATGCTATCTGTGTGTCTTATCTGTACACGGTTCCAACACATAAGGCGTGGGTGCGAGAGAGCGCGCGCATGCCGGCGAGTAGCGAGTGCCATAGCAGCTGCTGGGCGTGAGCGAGAGACAATGCGCTGTGCACACAGCAAAGACACACCCCAAATGCCGTTGCCACTGTCAGTTTATCGCGTGCGCGCACACACACGCACTCACAGACACTCTCTCTCTTTAGCGCTACCTCTCCCTCACTCCTGCTCGCATTCTCACGCTCTCTCTCACTCACTCTAGCGGCAGCAGCTCACACCAATGTTTACAGAGCGCCATTGCTCCAGTTCTGTTGCCGTTTCTCTTTTGGCTTCTGCGTGTGCCACGGCTTCGGCTTCAGCTTCCCTGCGCGCGCGCACCTATCGGCTTATTGTCATTCCCCTGCCCTCGCCGCGACCCCGCTCTCTTGGTGTTTGGAACTGCTTCTCTTTATTATTTGGCTGCTGTTGTGAGGCGCTCTCAAGGGTTTGATTTGTATTTGTACTTTGTGGGTCCTTTGTGCCCGCTTCTGTCCGTCACCGCCCCCGCCCCGCCCCTGCCCCCACCATCATCCCTTCCACAAGGCAACAAAAACCGTTACCGCTGCCGTTTGGTACGTGCCCGAGCCCGATTCCACACAATGTTCATAATAATAAGGCTACTTCTATCGTACACTTTTGAGGGCTGGCTGTCTTTTTACTGGGTGTCAAGGGCGTTTTGTTATCCCATTATTCTCCGTTAGCCGCCATTGTTGGCCCAGCTCCTTGCCGCTTGAGGCGGTGCTGTGTGCGCCCCTCGACACCGACTCCGACCCCGACCCCGTGCCATGGCTGTTGTCCTCCCTCCTGTTCTCTGGCTTGCCATGCTGTGCTCTCGATTGCGCACAAATAAATAAATAACTGTTCTTTTTGACGTATGCCCGCTGCCTGCCTTCTTCTGTATTCTTCCTCCTGACTTAGCAACCCCTCTTGTCATGCCTCTGCCTCTGCCTCTGCCCCTGCCCCTGCCTGTGCCTGCTGCCTGTTTGATTTGCTCACTCCGGCGCAGTTGGCAGATACTTTTTGCCGAAATGCTTGGAACACAAACGAAATTTATTAAAATTCACAACAGCTTTTGTGCAGTTCATAATTTTCGTTTTTATTTCGCATTTGCCTGCCGAGCTTTTTTTTTTGATTTTTCTGCTGCGTGACTCAAGTGGGTTATTATTGGAGGAGGGATGGATGCGGATAAAGCTGGTCCAAATGTTTATTTTTGTCTACGGACATTCTGTCACATTATACTATTTATTGTTATTATTATTTCATGTTTTGAGCATCCTTTTTGCCACTGCAGTTCTTAGTTCCATTCAACTTATTTACGAGTTACTGGCTCAATTATGAAAGAAATATTTTAATCACAATCCTTTTGAGATCTTAAACTAAATAAAGAAGTCATTGGTTCGGTATTTAAGTTATTTATTTACTTACACTTATATTTTGAACATTATTCGAATAATTGATTTCCTGACGAAAAAAATTTTCATATGCACACTTTTTTCCCCTACGGCATCTCCTCACTTAATCAAAACTAAGTCGTTCGATTCGCAATTGAGAAACCATTTAAAAAACTTTATTAGATTAGAGCTTTGACAAACAGATAGATGGAAGTGCAACCTTGTAATCTCTATAAGTAAACGCTCTCCAAAAATTGTCCACTTCAGCTCACTCAGACTATGTCGCGTTGGCAGGCGGCAAATACGCTTTGAAGTTATATAAACTAAGAGAGAAAAAAACGACTTTCGATTAGTTTTAGTTGAGCAGCGCACTCAGTGGAGCGCCTATTGCCAGGGCAGAAGCTGAAGTACTTGCGTATGGCGCTACTTCAGAAATGTCTTAACTAATATAAGCCATTTATAGAGGTAATGGCATGGAAAATGACTTCTGTGGTGCAAGGTTCAGCGTCTGGGGGCAATAGGGAAAATCCCCGGTGAATAACACCTGTCAGTTTAAGTTGTGCAATTGCGAACCTGATTTCGGTATGTTTTATGTTGATAACATGGCCAAAAAGGGTTAAATGAATTTTGGCTGTTTTGTGGTTGAGGATGTGTTGTCCTGTAATTACATTTGCGTCACTGCGGAACCCGCATTGGGCTAGGTGAAGCCCATTTTATCATCAATAATCAATGCAGGGCAAATGGCAAATGGCAAGGGCAACCTTTCCATTGATGACATGCTATCTATTTTGGGGCAAAGAGCTCTGGGATTTACCCAGGCACATTTCAATTAGAAGAGAAAAACAAAATTAGACTTTCGACTTGCCTGATAGCTGAGGCGGGGAGCCAACGCGCAAAAGGGGCTTTATATATGGCGTGTTATCTGCTAATTGGAATGCCTCAAAACAAAATGGCGGCGGCACGAGTTACAAGTACGTGCCGTGAACTATGTACGCTATGGTCAACTGGTGTAAAATATTTGACTCATGCCAAGATATAAAATGAGAAACATGACACAAGATATAAAATATAAAATTCTATGATCTAATATGAGAAATATGTTCCGGAATAAAATTGCCAAATGTGCGTACGAATTTCAGATATAGCGTGAGAAATATGGCCTGCAATTGAAGAATGTAAGAACTAAACATTAGGTTTTAGAATTACAAAAGCAAAAGTTTATACATATCATAGCTCATGCAGATGGAATATGCAGAAACTCTTTAAGAAGTTTGCCTTATTCCATAGTATATCGCATAGTTATCTTCAGTTTTTATTTTATGTTTTCCATATACTTTGAGTGTAATATGTCAAGTGCCTGAGTGTCTTGTATCCTTTGATGGCCGAACAACAAAACTTAATGCTCGAAATTCGTGAAGTCGCACGCGCACACAAAATTGATATGCAAAGCATTTGAAGGTGGCCAAGAGTGCCACAAATCTACACGTAAAGCAGCCGCACACACACCTACACTCACGCACACATATAGACCCGTAGCTACATGCACATCCACATCCACATCCGCAACCGCGTTCACGTCCGCGCCCTTGTTGTTGTCACATTTCCCTTTTTAAGCAACTACCAAAAAGTTCACAGCAGTCGTTGCAAAGTTCAGAGCCATTGCTCAGTCGCTAACTAATCCGGCCTAATCCGGAAACATGACGAAATGAAATACGATGGTGCGTAGGGAGCCGCGCAGAAGATGTCGCTGGCTCCAAATGTTGCCCCTATTTCCGCCACCCTCTGCCCGCATCTTATGGCTTGGCTCTGCTGTGAACTAATTTTGTATGCCTTATGAGATGCGCGGCGCCGGAGTTGCCAGTTCCCAGTTCCCAATGCTGTTACCGCTCCCTCTCCTCTCTCCCCGTTCCCGTTTCCCGCTCTGCTTGCTGAAGTGGGCAACTCTTTCACAAAATGGCGGCATTGATTTCCTGCCCGCCTGCCAGCGAAGTCAATTTTCAGGATTTGCGAACGGCTTTGCTGGCCAGCCTTACATTCTTTAGCAGAGATCTCTACGAAAAGCACTTCCCGCAAGCAGTCAATAAACTATACGCACACACATCTCCCACACACACACACACACACACACACTCACACATGCATGTGCCACCTCCTCAGTTGCCTTTTCCGGCTGCTGAGTGTCTTCGCCGTTTGTTTGTATTAGTGTGCGTGGCATGTCCTTGTTGACATTGCCAGCTCTGTGGCAGCTAAAGCAGCGCTCCGCAAAGTGGCAGCTAAAAAATCTGTGAAAATAAACCCACTAAGGTTGCAGCCAAATGCCATTTTCTTTGTTTCCAAGTCGCAGCCCGGAGCCACTGATCAGAGCAGAAATGCAGTTCAATCAGCATCCGGCAGCCAAACAAATTGCTGCACTAATTAATAAGCGCAAAAGGCAACAATAAAGAGAAGAAAGAAAAACAAAAAAAAGAAAACAACCAGCTT